AAGAGTGTCATCTTTGATTTTCAATCTTTTTTGCAATACTCGTTATCTTTGTTTATGCTGTTGCTAATTAACAAACGAAAAATGGGATAATACTTAGAATTTCTTAAAGAGGATCTGAGGTAAAAATTCTCATGTCTAACTTATTTTTTAAAATTTTAATTAAGCTGAAATAATTAACGTTTGTATTTACCCCGGCTGACCCTAATAATTAATAATTAATGATTTAAAAAATATGGGAAAAATTAAAAAAGAAATGATTAATTCAGATTAAAAATTAATTGAATGTTTTCATGAAACTAATTATATTATGTTCGATCAAACAAATAAAGCAAGTTAATTAGCGCCCCTATAAGTCACAGGTCATGCCTGAAAAGGTCTTCAAATTTTCCCACCCACAATGTGCTTTCGACATCAGTTTCTAACTAAAACCAGGTTGAGGTTTTGTTACGAGAACAGGCCAAGTCCGTATAGCAATAAGGGTTAGAGAAGAAAAGTCATGTTTCACACGTGTCGAAAACTTTAAAGAGAAAAATTATCCTAAATATGATTTAATATTTAAGATAATATTCCCTCGACAATATTATTTATTTTTTTTATTATTTGTTGTTAGAAATATATAATTATTTTTTAGTCGAAATTTTATTTTTCGAATTAGCATTTGCCAGAATTTCTTTCCATACGAATTTTTACTTAAAAATAACTTTTTAGCTGACAAATTTTTGTTTAGCAGAATTTTTATATTTTACTGTTATTTTCTTTACATGAATTTTAATTTAAAAGAATTTAAAAAGATAATTTTAATTTAACACAATTCTTATTAAATCGAATTTTATGTCATTCGAATTTTTAAATGACACAAATTCCAATTCATCGAATTTTAATTTGTCAAAATTTTTGTTTGTACAAATTTTGAAGATGACAAATTTTTTATTTGTCCAAAATTACGAATATAAAAAAAAACAATCGACAGAAAGATTTCGTCTCGATTTTTAAAATTGATCAATTATAAATTATCAAGAAAATCGCGATTGATCAATTTTTAAAATTGCGCCGAAATTTTTCTCTCCATTGCTTTTTTCGGCTATTTGTAATTTCGGACAAATAAAAATTCGTACAAATTAAAATTCGGTGATTTGGAATTTCTGTCACTTAAAAATTAGAATTACATGAAATTCAATTGAATGAGAATTCTGTTAAATTAAAATTAGCTTAAATTTAAATTCTTTTAAATAAAAAGTCATGTGAAGAAAATGACAGTAGAATAAAAATTCTGTCAAACAAAAATTTGGTAGAAAAAAATTTTGTTTTATAAAAATTCGTATAAAAAGAAATTCTATCAAATTTTAATTCGAAAATACGTGTAAAAAATAATTGTTTTTAATAAAATACTTTAAAGTAAAAATTTTAATAAATGATTTTTATGGAAAATTCATGAGCCCTAGCGGTATCACTAAATTTCCCTTATATTATATTACTATTTCGAAAAATAATAAAAACTTCCATTCACTGCAAACGACTTTACGGATTTTAAACAATTTTTTTAGCTTTATTTCAAAATAAAAAAAAACAGCGTATATTCTCAAAAATCAATTTTTGAAACTAGATAGATACTCTTGATTAGGCGTATTTTTTAAGAAGAAGTTATTGATTAATAATAAAAAAAACTAATATTAAGTTTCCAATTTCTCTGTTTATATAAAGGATTGGCACATTTCCTGTGCTACTCGATTTTCTAGGATCCATCTATTTTTCGAGGGTGAGGTTTGATGATAGACATCGTGTCAATTTCTGATTGATGGGATTATCGCCTCTTTGACGTATATCCGTGTGTCTTTTTCCTTTTAATATTCTTAGAAAATTCTTATCGTCAAGTACCACAATTTTTTAATTACTATCGCGCTTTATTCATCTTTTATTTATAAATTTCTTTCGCTAAATTATTTTTATTTTAATACAGGCCTCGAATCAATTTTAAGACCAGGTGCAACTCGTCAAATGTAAACAAACATGAAAATGTACGTAATTATTGACAAATTTGCGACAGCCTTTTTTTTAATAGAAAATAAAAATTGTACTTTTTCTATGTGAAAATGGAAAATTCATATATAAAACTACAGCCTGACACCGTATTTGACTAATAACATGAATAATATTAATGAATAATATAATTATAATCTACCTAATTGTAAGATAAATTTTCAAAATTTTATTTAAGTAAGACTTTCTGAAAAAAATTCTTAAAGTTTTATTTTTATAATTTCTTGAAGTCTGATTTAATGAATTTATTCAAATTAAAAATTTTGTCAACATTTTTAGTTTTGATGGTCAAAAAAATTTCAGGCAATACTTACTTAATAAGTTTTACAGATTTTTAAATAAAAATTTTTTTAAAATAATAATTTTTGAAGAGTTAAAGTTGAAATTTTTAGAAATAATATTGAATTTCAAAAGATTTTGTTAATTTTCAGACAATAATTAAATTTTACAGAATTAAAAATAATTTATCAAATAATTTTAGATAACGTTCTTTAAAAGTAATTGAATTTTCAAAGATTTACAATTTTGATTTTTGAAATTAATTGAACTTCAAGTGATTTTTAATTTAAAATTTTCGATGATTTCTGTTACTAAAAAATTTATTATAAATTGCAGAGAAAAAAACACTAATTTGAAGAATATTATAAAAATCATTAGAAATAATTTGAATTTCAGAACAGTTATAATTAAAATTATTAAATTTCAAAAAATTTTAGAAGCTTTTAAATTGAAATTTTTGAAAATAATTGAATTTTAAAAGATTGTGTTAAATTTCAGACAATAACCCAGATAGCACGGAAACTTACAGCAAGCTTGCGGCAAGTTAACCGTGTAAGCTTGTCTGAGCCAGCGAAATGTCCCACCCAGGGCAAGCTTGCCGTGAAAGCTTGCTGTAAGCTTTCCAGGAAAGGTTGCTGCAAGCATACTAAGAATGATTGCGGCAAGGTTGCCGTGAAAGATCGCTGTAAGCTTGCTACGTAAAGTTGCAGGAGAATTTCAACAAGCTTCTGGAAAGGTTGCTGCAAGCTTGCTGCAATTTTTAAAAAATACATTTTAAATTAAAAAAAAATTTATTTGATTTTTTTAAATTTGAAAATCCTTATTATTAATTATGTCCTGTTTATTTTCATTTGGAAACTTAACGAGAAAATTTTCGAAACAAATTTGAGGGGACTGGGAATTGAACCCGGGTTCGACAGACACTAACCAAAGACCCTAACCGAGAAATTTCTAGTGATTTCTGTTGATGAAGAATTTATTAGAAATCATCAAATCACATAAAAAAAATTGAATTTCAAAAGTTTTTAATTGAAAAATGCTTTCAGATAATTGAATTTTCGAAGAATATTATAAAAGTCATTAAAAATAATTGAAATTTTTGCAAATAATTAAATTTCAAGTAATTTTGAATTAAAAATTTTTGCTAATTTTATTTGCTAATATTTTTAAAATTGTAATCGCAATTATTAAATTTCAGTAAAAATTTTAATTGAAAAATAGTTTAAGATCATTGAAGTTGTTAAGAATTTCATTAAAATTATTAAAAATAACCTTCATAAAGTAGGCGTCGAAGCTTATAGCGTCAAAAATTATTTTCCACGGGACCAAAAATATCAAGTAATTTTTAAAAAAAATTTTTGGGTCCCCATAATACTTTGAGAAGTATTTTTCAAGGTATTATTTGGATTGAAAAATTAAAAAAAATAATTTAAAATTTTTGGTCCTGTGCGTAAAACAATTTTCGGCGCTGAACGTCGAAGCCAACTTCATGGAGGTTAAAAATAATTAATTTAATGATGAATTTTGGTTAAAAATTTGTTAAATAATTGAAATAAAGAAGATCTGAAGAAAATTTGCAATTGTATATTAAACAAACGTATTTTTTCTAACACACGCACCGAAAGTACACCATTTCTTACCTGTAAAGGGGGAGAAAAGTATGTCTTTCCCGGCGAGCAAGAGGGAAAGTTACTTTCCCTCCCGCTGACGTCACTGACAGGGAGGAAAAGTACTTTCCCTCCCTGTGACGTCACTAGCAGGGAGGGAATGTAACTTTCCCTCCCTGTGACGTCACTAGCAGGGAGGGAATGTAACTTTCCCTCCCCGTAACGTCAATTTTTAGTTCTGTTGTTTATAGAACATTAAGAAGAACAAGAACAGTATATTATTGAATTTACTGTCAAACTATCGATTCGAAATATCGAGTTTAAGTTTAATGTTGATATTTCGATATATCGAATCAAATTTAAAATCGATAATCACGTAAACAATAGTGTACACTTTCTCCGCTTGGCGTCTCTGTACATTTGTTGTCATTCTGTCAATTCTGTTGATCAGTAATAACATAATTTAATCTCAATGTAGTCGACTTACTATAAAAGTTATATTTTTCGCTAAAATTTAATAATAAAATACCGTTTTTAGAAAAATTAACATTCTTTATTTTTAATCTATGTACTTTCGGTATGTGTGTTAGAAAAAATAGTATGTGCAACTCGGGAGGAAAATCAACCATTTTCCTCCCTAGATGCACAATATACTATTGTTTAAAAATTTTCTTTAAAAAATGTAAAAAAAAAAGTCGCATTTTATTAAAATAAGTCGAAAAAAGTCGTATAATCCGAAGCCTGCTAATAATGACCATTTCTCAGCCTTACTTTGAATGGGGCTAAATAGGGAAATTTTTTATTGTATCGATGCAGAATTTAATCAACCTAACTCCGTAGAAGTTACAACCATTGAAAATTCAAAAATTCTGAAATTTAAAAAAATTTATATCTCGTAAATAGTATGATAGAAAAATATGAAAAAAAATCATGAAACCCTTTTTTTTTGATAGAATACTGAAAGATAAATAAATTTTAGCCAAATCAAAAGCGTCAAAGTCAACGATATGTTGGAAAGTTGGAATGGCATGGACCGTCCCAATATATATGTGAAATAAAAAGAAAATCCAAACTCACCTGTGTATCGTTATGATGAAGTCGTAAGTGAAATTTTGGCAGCAATTCCATTTGATTAATTTTATCAATTGCTAATTTAGCAGCTTGCAATTCACTAGGACCTTCGGGTCTTGGCTCATTTTTTTGTGTCAATTCAAAAAGACCCAAAATTGTGACATTGACTTTTTGATTTTGAAAATTTTTCGACCAATTTCCATTGAAATGATCATCTTTTTCAAAGTTCTTGTGATAGTTAGGTAACCAAGACATCTTTCTGGTTGTTATCGGAACACTTGCAATTGTCGATACTTGAGCATTCTTCGAGTTAACAATGTCCTCCGTGGCAAACGTCTCCAAGGTGTCGTTAAAGCTGAGGGTGAAGTTATCTTCACCATTGACCTCTTGATGCTTTTCTTCCTTATTCTCCCAGTGATCCACATTATTTTTTTCTCTACTATTGCCTTTTCTTCGATGGGGCACAACATCACGACTAGGGCTCATCGGTAAATCCGGCAGTGCCTCTGTAGCGTCTAATGTTGATATATTTGATGGTTGCCTTGTAATTTCCAACTTTGAAGGGCCAAAGTGCCTTCTGTCAAACTTTTCCACGCTCGCGCCAGAAGGAGGCTTCTGAGTTATCTGCAAATAAAACAAAGACAAATCCTATATACTCTCTCTCTCATAGGGATTAAAGGGGGAAAAAAAAAGTTTTTAGTTCAGCATTGTGCGGAAGTTGCAAATAGAAAACCATTTTTTTTTTGAAAAGTTTTTTTTGTGAATCACTATATTTTCCACTCAAAAGTTTTATAAAATAGAAAACTTTAAATCACCGTTGGAAATTATTAAAGAAAATTAATAAAAATAATTAATACTATTTGATATGTGCGAGAAGAAACTTAAAACAGTATTTCTTTCTTATTTCTTTTCTTAAATTACCAAATGAAGAACACTGAAAGAAATCAAGAAATGTTTGCTGGTGAAAGATAAATTGTAACTTGCTGGTATTTACTATCTAAGGCAAAGTTTTTTGTACTCTCTCTCTCTCTCTCTTTTGAAAAATTATATTTGCCAAAATGATTGAAAAAGAACTTTAATTCAAAACTTTCTCTATAATATTTAAGTATAATGTAATAAAGTTGTAAAATTTAAAACTTTGACAAGTTTCGATTGCCTTACAAAAAAAATACAAGTTTTCAAAGTTATACTGTTTTTAATGAAAATTTTTAAGTAAATTTTACCAAGAGATGTGAAATTTTGTATCGTTTTTATATATTTAACAAGAGAATACTTCCTTAAGGTCTAGAAGTTTAATCATTTCAATGCTAAGCCATTTCATAAAATGTAAAAAGTTAATTTTTTATAATTTCTCATGAAAAGCAGCTTGATTAAATTTTCCATGTTATAACCGATTATGTAATTTGTTTATCACTTTGTCTTCAACTTTGAATAAAACAAAAAAGAATAATTTAATTTCATTTATTTTTAATTTATATCTAATTTTTTTTAAATTAATTAATTTAATTATTTGTAATTTAATTTATTTTCATTTATTTTTTTATCTTTTTCATTTAATAAAAAAATTATGTATAGGTATACAGTGCCCTTCATTAGATTTTGGTGCAGCAGCTACCCTAAACAAAAAATTTTTATATTCAGTAGTTAACTTCACTCATATAAAAACTCATGGCAAATATTAAGTATGAAGTTAATTGAATATAGAAATTTTTCATTTGGGGCAGCTGTTGCACCAAAATGTTTTCAGTGTACCTACAGAATTTTAGGCGTTGCAAAAAGTTTTATATTTTTGTTTCTAATATAAAAATAAAACAATATATAATGACTTTTTTTAAAGCTTATACCTATTCTTTATTTTGAGAATATCTGAAAAGTGAATTAAAATTTTTTTTTGGCAATTGCTCTTATTATTAATAAACAAAATTTTCATTTTTTTTTGTAAATTTTAAACTAATATATTTGCTTAACAAATCATCACATTTTAATTGCATATATAGCATTTGATAATTTTATCACCTTTAAAACGCTTTTTTAAAAATTGTGATACGATAATTTTTAACAAAGATATGGTCAATTGTTTAAAAAAAACACTACCGCGCTTGTGCTACTATAACTCTCTCATTGGTAGAAAAAGGCGCTCTTATTTAAAATACAATAATATAAAAAACTGTTTAGAAAACAATTTTTTATAAAATTGTAAGTGTTAAATTTATTGTTTTTTATTAAAAATTAATTTTTATCAATTATTTTGAAATTAATTTTCAGTAGAGGAATAATTTTGCAACTGTTAAAATAGCTTTTTTTCTATAAAAATCAACTTTTAAATTTATTTATTTAAATTTAAATTTATTTTTTAAATTATTTAAACTAATTATCATCAGAAGTTTTTAAATTTATAAATAATAATAGTACCCACACAGCACTCAAAATTCCCTGAAACTTGACAGAGTCTCACACGGCAAGGTTAGGAAACTTTAGTGGCAAGGTTCATACAAGTTTGTGTCGATGTTTAAATGTCCACATGAAAAGAATATTTACATGAAACTTTGAGGAAATATTACACTATAAATATTCACGTGTAATGTTCAGTCAATGTTGTGTCAATATTCACCTATATACTTATTATATTAGTAAATGAAATTTTTATAACTAGGCGAAAATGTAATTTCAATATTGACACAACATTGACTGAACGTTGCACGTGAATATTTATGTGTAATATTTCCTCACAGTTTCATGTGGACATTTAAACATCGACACAAACTTGTATGAACCTTGCCACTGAAGTTTCCTAACCTCGCCATGTGAGGTTCTGTCAAGTTTCAGGTAATTTTGGGTGCTGTGTGGGTAATAATATTAATAAAACATAAACTTGCGTTGTTAAGACTTTTAAAATGATTTGTTTTTTTTATTAAAGTATTTTAAATGAGAGTGCCTTTTTTTTTACTAGTATTATTAGGTTTAACGTTGTCAACTATACAGCAACGGTTGGTTTCCATTGTCCCCACTCGCCATTTGTCATAAATCTCTTTAACTCCCGAACCCTGCTACAGTGAAAATTTAGTAACTTTTAATTTTAACAATAAAGTCACTAAATTTTCACTACAGCAGGGTGCGGTAGTTGACGAGAATTATGACAAATGGCGATTGGGGACAATTGAAACCAACCCAATGTGCATGTATATTTGGCCATGACCTGGTGTGTGAATATAGCTTAAAGTTTGATATTTCTACGCAATTCAACGTTAAAAACGTATACCTGAAATGCTGTAATAAAAATTTATATATTAGTAAGTATCTATATATATTAACAAAAAAAGGTGGAAATGTGTAAAATAACTTATATTAAATAAAAAGAGGCCTTTTTTTAACTAATCAGAGAGTTATAGTAGCGCAAGCGCAGCTGTGGTTAGTAACGGTTGTTGGCATCTCTGCCTTACATTAATTACACCCAACTACATATATATATATATGTAGTTGGGTATATATATGGGTTTGGTTTCTATTGTTCCACTCGCCATTTGTCATAATTCTGGTCAACTACCGCACCCTAATCTAGTAAAAATTTAGTGACTTTATTATTAAAATTAAAAGTTACTAAATTTACACTAGAGCAGGGTGCGGTAGTTGACGAGAATTATGACAAATGGCGAGTGGGGACAATGGAAACCAACCTATACAATACGCCACGAAGTAATAAAATTATTATTATTATAGTGCGTCACAACTTTTCAAAATGCCGTCAAACCGGAAGGACAGAATATATGCGCAGTTGGGCGTATTTTCAAGAATTTTCAATCAAAATACCATTTTACATGCTTAGGACGAGAAAAATTGAACTTGAATTAATGTTAATGAAGACAAAGTGGATAACAAATTACACATGATCGACACCCCCTCATCCCGATAATTATGTTCTTTAATTGAAATATTCCGAGAACTTGTCAGCTTTGAAATCACGTCGAAAATCACCTCATTAGTAGAGAACAAGAGAGCAGTAACACACAGAGAGTACGTTTATATATACCTTAACGGGAAATTTCTGGAAGCTCTCAAAACCAATGAACGGTGATTCACTGTTGGCAGCTTCAGCATTCTCATCGCTGACATTAACGTCGGAAACTAAGTTGAGTATAGTGACTGGAAATCCTCTTGTTTCTTTCCTCTTGTTGCCCTCAACATTCGTCTCACAATAGTTGAAGCGACACCGATCATTGTTTGTCGAGTCTTTCGTCCGTTCCAATAATAAAAGTAACGACGATCTGTTATCTCTATTCTTCTCGATATTATCAATACTACTACTACTACTACTACTACTGTTCTCATAGTCGTCTTTATGTTGAGTAACTTCGTCCTCAAGAAAGTTCTCCTGATTGTCTAAACTTGCACCTTCTTCTCTTTCTTCTTCATCTCCTCCTCCTTCTTCTCTTCTTCTTCCTTCGTATCTTCCCATCTTTTCAGACTCGGGAAGTGAGATATTACTATAAATGTTATTTGTATCGTTCGAGGAGTGGAGTTTTTCGCTTGAAAGGACGTTTTGACTGGAGAAACATAGAAGAATGAAAACAAGGACAATGAGGATGTGCGGACGATGAAAGGGCAAGAAGAGGACCGCAAAGGGAAACGTCGAGCGAAAAAACTTATAAGCCCGCGACATAATCAGTCGCGTTTCAAGCGACACAAACCCGGCCCAACTAGCCGCCCTCATCTACCAAAAAACATTACAAAATGCGCCATTTTCGTTTTCAACGTTCTTGAAATATTTCGTTGTCTCTCCTTCATTTTATTCTTTTCACTTCTTTTTCTCATCTTTTTTTTTTCCCTCACTACTTTATGTTTTCTTTTGTTCACAATCTTTATCTTCTGTATATAAAAATCCTTTTCTTTTGCTTCTTCCGCACTATTTTTTTTATTTTCTCTTTCTTCCTGTTGATTAACAGAATGTATTTTTATTTACATTATTTTTTTTATATTCACCATTTTTTAAAAGTAATAAACACTTGAAATTGATTTATTTAATAGATTTATAATTATTTATTTAATTTACATGTTTTTAAAATTAAAATTTATTTAAATTTAAAAAAAATAAATTTTTTTAAATATGTAGTTTTTGCAATACTTTAAATTTAATTAGTTTCAAGTAAATGTAGACAAAAAAATTATTTTTATGTGTATATGATTTTTGTGTTCCGGAGCCCCTAAAAAAAATTTTTTTTAATCTCACTTTTTAAAATTTTTTAAACAAAAAAAAGTGGAATTAAAAAATAATTATAGAGAGTCCGGAACATAAAAATCATCCTGCATAATAAATGTAGGGTGTACTGTTATTAAATTAAATATTGTAATGGTTTTTTATTTATATTATAATGTAGTGAAAAAAATATTTAATTGGACTAATTGGTTATACTTGACTATTATTAAATAATTATTTATTTGTATCAAATAATTATTATTTGAGTCAATTAAATGGTAATTCTTTTCAAATATAGAAATTATTGGTTCAAATTCAGTTCATTTAATTCAAATAAACATTATTTGGTTCAAGTAAATATTTATTTGATAATAGTCAAGTATCCGATTATTTGATTCAAATAAATTTTATTTTTCAGTATGATAAAAGATTTACGTTCTGTTAAATTTGTATGTAATATATTTTTTTAAATTAATTACGAATTATTTTAATTAAAATCAAAACCAAAAATTAATTTACATTATTGTTTACTTTCTAATATAAAAGTTTTTTTATTTTTAGGTTATAAGTATCACAGAAAATTAAAAGGCATTAAACTAATCTGCAACGCTTATTATTTTAATCCAATTTTGCTTATTTTAATCCATTTTGGTATTAAAATAAGCAAAATTGGATTAAAATAATAAACGTTACAGCTTATTTTAATGCCTTTTAATTTTCTGTGATAAAATGTTTTTTAAATTTTTTTTTACAATTTTTTTACAAATCAGTTTGTACGTAACAAATACATAAAGGGTCAATTTTATTTCAACATATAAAACGAAATTCGTTTTAAAAATAACGTCCTGAATATGATTGAAAAATGTTCACAATTTTATGAAATATTAGCCAAAAAATCAAATATTTTGCTGATTTTAAAACATAACCTAAAATATTCAGTTTAACTTACTTCTCCTGTTTCGCGATGAAATGAATTTGCATCTTTGCCACACTCTGTCTTTATTAATCATTGAAATCATTTTCATTTATTTAATATGAACAGAAAGACACGAAACGATATTCTGTCAGTTAACAAAATTGTGTATTCAAGATTATCTGAAGTAGGGGGATCTCTTTATAGAAAATAATACGCGGCATACGGTTTCTATATTCCATGGTAATACTAACAAGGTTGTGCAATTAAACGCTACCATGGAACAGCAGTCAAATTATTTTGTAAACATAAGAGATCATCTGCAATAATTTTTACTACCCAACCTTGTCGAATGACCTATTTTATTTATGTCTCTTGTTTTCTTGTTCATATATCAAACCGCAAACAAAATAATGTTTTTTTTCACACGTTGGCTTTAAAGATAATAGTTTTTTATTTAATGATTTAAAAAGTGTTATAATTATTAAAAATGAATCAATGAAAACAATTAATGAATTAATTAACATTTATGAAGACGCAAAAATATGGAATAGGTGGAAATTTGTTTTATTGCAAAAAAGAAGAAGTATATATATAAATTTAACTGAATATTTTAGGTTATGTATTTAAGGGTACATTCCAGTTCAAAATGGGGAAAAAGAAGGCTTCTTTAGAATGTATTTCTAAAAAAACCATGACATTTATTCAGAAATTTTTGTTTACATGTTATAAATAACTTATTGAAGAATATGAAAAAAAAAAATTTTCACTTGTAGTCCAAGATGGCGGCGATGTACAACCAAAAGTGTTCATTTTTCATGGGGGGATCGATTCCGAGATTTCTACAACAGATAGAGACATAAAATAAAAAGCATTTTCTTCGTTAGATATTTTTTATGGATGGAACCTGAAAAAAGTGCAATTTTCGTCCTCTTCTTTTTTTTATGGTAAGTTTTTCTCGAAACTTGAAAAAAACACATGTTTTTATTCAGAATTTCTGTTATAGAAAAAAAGGGAAAAAGAAATTTTCCAGTTTTTGAGGTTTTATCCATAGAGAAATATCTAACGAAGAAAATGTTTTTTATTTTATGTCTTTATCTGTTGTAGAAATCTTGGAATCGATCTCCCCATGAAAAAATGAACATTTTTTGAAAATGTTCGCCATCTTGGACTACAAGTGAAAATTTTTTTTTTCATATGAGGAGCAAATTTTCAAAACCTGATAAATCCATATTTTCTTATTTCGAGAAATTGAATAACAAATGACTTTTCTCACATAACCACTGCAGTTACTTTTAAAATATAAAATTTGTAATAGTTTAATTCTATAACAATGTTTCTATATTCAAGACGTTCTGTTTTTAATTAAACTTTATCATAATTTAATGATTTACAGGTATTGGTAATTTTTTCTAATAAAAAACATAAAAATTATAACTCATCTTGGTTATGTCCAAAAGTTTTTGTATTGAAAATTCGTTGTTAACAATTTTTTTTTCTTAAATTTAACAGCGACAGGAAGATTTGTGAGGCCTTTAAAATATTAAATTTTATCAAAAAATAAAATTTCTGAAAAATAAAAAAAAATTGTAAAATTGTTTAAAATTACTTTTCTTCATTTTTCATAGTGAAATATGATTTAAAGTTCTAAAAAAAAATTTTTTAAAAAATTATTACCGCTAAACCAAACCAATTATGTTTGGTTTAAATTTTATCAATTATTCCATAAAAATTCATCTTCTTCTACAATTTTTATTATTTTTTATCGGTAATTTTTTTGTAGGCTTTTTTCATGATTCTGAACAATCAATCGTATGAATTTTTAAAAATTTTAATATTTTCAAAAAATATAATTGAGCCATTTTATTATTAATTGTTCAATTGCATTGTAACTTTCCAGAAAAATTCTTTGGACCTTAATGAACAACTTTTTCACTGGGAAGTTTGTTGCTGAAAATTTATCGAATTTCCCTGCTTTGGGAAAATTGCACTTCACGAATTTCGCAATGTCTCAATAAAAAATTTATAACTTTTTTATTTTTTATCAAAACAACTTTTTTCATTTTTAGTTACTCGTAGGAAAATAATAACACGTATTTTCGTTTTTGTTTCATTGAGAAATTCGTAAAATTGTCTGAGCTGTCGCGAGTTAAAGTAAAAAAAAAAAAAACAATGAAAATTTTCTTTTTTTAAAAAAACAGTTTTTCTCTTATATTTCGAAAACGGAAAAAGATGGAAAATTTCTTATTAAGAAAAAAAGATGCGCAATCGAATTCTGTATAAGAATATGTTCGAAAAATATTAAAATTCGAAAAATAAATTTTGAGTGTCCAGGGGACTTTGTTTTCCGGCCGAAAAAATTTACGTGCCCTTCTAGAATCCAGCGGCTCAATTTCTAAAATTGTAAAAAAAAAATGTTTATAATTCATAATAATTTTAGATCCCAACCCAATGGGAAACTGCCACGAGTAACCATTGGCGTATTAATTGGCCCAATGATGGGAGCCAATGAAAAAACCATTGGCACCCAATAATGGACCATTATTGGTAAAGTCATGGGCTGTCCACGCCGATGCCAATGATTGGCAACCATCATTGGCAAATTATTGGCAGCCAATAATTATCCAATATTAAAAATTTTAATAATAATTTAAAAAAAAATTTATATTTTTATTATTTTTTAATAGTTATTATTATTTTATTTTTAATAATTAAATTAAAATAAAAAAATGGTCATCAAAGTATTAGTGAAACCATTTCTTCCAAAAAAGAGTTTGTCTCAAATCCAAATAATAGGAGAGACATCGGGCAGAAAAAAATTTCGACAAGAAAAAAATTTTCAATCACTGCTTATGTACCAATCTAATGGCACCTCAACTGCGAGAAACAGTTATGATGTTCGCCCTCCCTGTGGCGTTGAGCGAACTAAAGTCTAGAGCTGAGCCATCAGCGCAGCGCGGGAACATTTAAAAAATTTGATTTTATTAGATATTTTATTTTATAATAATTAACGAATTATTAAGTATGACATTATGTTATTAATAATTATTAATGACATTAATTATTTATTAAGTTAATTATTTGTCATATTTAAAATAAAATAAAATATCTAATAAAATCAAATTTTTCAAATGTTCCCGCGCTGCGCTGATGGCTCAGCTCTGGACTTTAGTTCACTCAACGCCGCAAAGGGAGGGCGAACATCACTGTTTCTCGCAGTTGAGATGCCACTTGATTGGTATATAAGCAGTGATCTAAAATTTTTTTCTCGTCGAAATTTTTTTCTGCCCGATGTCTCTCCTATTATTTGGATTTGAGACAAACTCTTTTTTGGAAGAAATAGTTTCACTAATACTTTGATGACCATTTTTTTATTTTAATTTAATTATTAAAAATAAAATAATAATAACTATTAAAAAATAATAAAAATATAAATTTTTTTTTAAATTATTGATTTTTTAAATTATTATTAAAATTTTTAATATTGGATAATTATTGGCTGCCAATAATTTGCCAATGATGGTTGCCAATCATTGGCATCGGCGTGGACAGCCCATGACTTTACCAATAATGGTCCATTATTGGGTGCCATTATTGGAATTATATTGGCATCCCTGGCTCCCATTATTGGGCCATTAATACGCCAATGGTATTTTTCCCATTGGGAAATAATGACAAAAAAAAATATTTGACACTCCTTAACAGCATTAATTCCGATCAGTTGAAATTTCATCGGTTCCCTTCCCTTAATGATGTTAATAAAATAACCAATAAGTCTTTTTAAAATGAGAAGAAAATAGTATCAATTGAAAAACTCTTATT